TGGTTCGAATTGCTAGTATCGTGCCAATTAATGTTAAAATCACCCGCAAGTATATTTAATTTACTAGAATCTAAAAATGTCTCGAACCAGTTCTCTAAAATTTCAATAAAACGCTGATTACTTGAACTGGGAGAATGATACAAAACACCATAATTACCCATCTTCATGCCACGTTCAACTGTAATGCCTAAGAACCAATTGCCATCAATAACTTCGTTTTGGCGAATATTGAATTGAACTGATTCTTTGACATAAATAGCAACACCGCCAGTGTGCCTCGAATGTGACAAACAAGCAGCAGCTTTATATCCCGGAATGCTATACTGATCAAAAGATTCAATTTCTACAATATGTGTTTCTGCTAACAAAACCAAAAGTGGACGATTTTCTTCTACAATCTGACGTAATGTTACGTAGTTTGTAGATAACCCCGCAATATTTAAATATAAAATCTCTAATTTACTCACATTACTACTGGAACTTGGTTGCTATTTATTGAAATGTAAGCTGCTTTTTTTCTGATCATATAGTTTTTTATACACAAAACAATTAGAACTAAATGCTGCGTGGTTGACGTCCAAATTTAATTTACGCTCCTTATTAGTTTTTAAACAATTAACGCATTTCAATACAGTTGACGTACACTTAGAGGTGCTATGTTGTTTGCTGCATCTAGAGCATCGTTCGCAATTTTTGCAATCCGTGCTTTTGTGCCCAAATTCTCCACATCTGAAGCATCGCAAAACATTAATCGCGGGAACTATCGAGCACCGATCAAACCCTACATTTACTTTTTTCGCACATAACAAACATTTATACGTCTCGATATCGACTTCAATCACAACACTAAACTTGTTGTAAGTGAAGCGTGGATTTTCAAACATGTTAACTACTTTTACATCATTAATTGCGATGTCTTCATTTTGACTTTTTAAGAAGTCATTGAAGACATCGGAGGAATACTGATCGCTCATGCCCACCACTTTTAACATTGGCACCGATGTGGGAACAACAGCGTTGTAGTTTTCACCCAAATTGCTTTCAATGCCCTTTTTCACCTCATTTACATTGTATCCTGTTGCACACTCAACAATAATGGAGCCATCTTTCCCGTTTCTAAAGTTACTGATTTTGTGTGTTTTTGGATCCAGGTTTGTTTTCAAAAACTTGCGAGTTTCCTCGCAGTCTTGTTTGGACTCTTTAGGTTTAATCACAATGACCGGGCGAGCCTTACGGTTGTTCAGTTTTTTACTTTAAAACTTACTTTTATCATTTTCAACTTTATTTTTACTGATATCCTTACTTTTACTGTCCCCTTGTCCATTTTTCAAAGCATCAGCGAAACTACATTTAACTTTATCATTAGTAGAATTCTCTTCGTCATGACTATTACTATTACCATCGGGGATTCGACCCGCTTCAGAGGGAATCGGCCCAGATCCACTGCTATTATTCATTGCAACTAAATTTTTGTCCGCAATAATTCTCGAAAATGAACTAGTCATATTTTCCAATTTTTCATTTAATAATATTTCAAGTCCGCCAACACCCCCCAAATCGCGATTAGAGCCATATTTAAGGAGATAAATCGATTTAAAGGTTTGAGAAGTCCACCAGCCGATAAATAAAGGTTTTTCAAATATTTTATACTGGGAAATTTTGGTATGAAAATTTCGAGCATCTGAACGCCCCCCAAATCGCGATTAGAGCCATATTTAAGGAGATAAATCGATTTAATGGTTTGGAAAGCTCCCCGGCCGACAAATAAAGGTTTTTAAAATATTTTATCCTGGTAAATTTTGGTATGAAAATTTCGAGCATCTGAACACCCCCCAAATCGCGATTAGAGCCATATTTAAGGAGATAAATCGATTTAAAGGTTTGGGAAGTCCACCAGCCGATAAATAAAGGTTTTTCAAATATTTTATACTGGGAAATTTTGGTATGAAAATTTCGAGCATCTGAACACCCCCCAAATCGCGATTAGAGCCATATTTAAGGAGATAAATCGATTTAAAGGTTTGAGAAGTCCACCAGCCGATAAATAAAGGTTTTTCAAATATTTTATACTGGGAAATTTTGGTATGAAAATTTCGAGCATCTGAACGCCCCCCAAATCGCGATTAGAGCCATATTTAAGGAGATAAATCGATTTAAAGGTTTGAGAAGTCCACCAGCCGATAAATAAAGGTTTTTCAAATATTTTATACTGGGAAATTTTGGTATGAAAATTTCGAGCATCTGAACGCCCCCCAAATCGCGATTAGAGCCATATTTAAGGAGATAAATCGATTTAAAGGTTTGGGAAGTCCACCAGCCGATAAATAAAGGTTTTTCAAATATTTTATACTGGGAAATTTTGGTATGAAAATTTCGAGCATCTGAACACCCCCCAAATCGCGATTAGAGCCATATTTAAGGAGATAAATCTATTTAAAGGTTTGGGAAGCCCACCAGCCGATAAATAAAGGTTTTTCAAATATTTTATACTGGGAAATTTTGGTATGAAAATTTTGAGCATCTGAACACCCCCCAAATCACGATTAGAGCCATATTTAAGGAGATAAATCGATTTAAAGTTTTGGGAAGCCCCCCGGCCGACAAATAAAGGTTTTTGAAATATTTTATACTGGGAAATTTTGGTATGAAAATTTCGAGCATCTGAACACCCCCCAAATCGCGATTAGAGCCATATTTAAGGAGATAAATCGATTTAAAGGTTTGGGAAGCCCACCAGCCGATAAATAAAGGTTTTTCAAATATTTTATACTGGGAAATTTTGGTATGAAAATTTCGAGCATCTGAATAACCCCCAAATCGCGATTAGAGCCATATTTAAGGAGATAAATCGATTTAAAGGTTTGGGAAGCCCCTCGGCCGACAAATAAAGATTTTTGAAATAGTTAACATTGGGAAACTTTGGTATGAAAATTTCGAGCATCTGAACACCCCCCATATCGCGATTAGAGCCATATTTAAGGAGATAAATCGATTTAATGGTTTGGAAAGCTCCCCGGCCGACAAATAAAGGTTTTTAAAATATTTTATCCTGGTAAATTTGGGTATGCAAATTTCGAGCATCTGAACACCCCCCCAAATCGCGATTAGAGCCATATTTAAGGAGATAAATCGATTTAAAGGTTTGGAAAGCGCACTGGCCGCCAAATAAAGGTTTTTGAAATATTTTATTCAGAGAAATTTTGATATGAAAATTTCGAGCATCTGAACACCCCCCAAATCGCGATTAGAGCCATATTTAAGGAGATAAATCGATTTAAAGGTTTGGAAAGCTCCCCGGCCGACAAATAAAGGATTTTGAAATATTTTATACTGGGAAATTTTGATATGAAAATTTCGAGCATCTGAACACCCCCCAAATCGCGATTGGATCCATATTTAAGGAGATAAATCGATTTAAAGGTTTGGAAAGCTCCCCGGCCGACAAATAAAGGATTTTCAAATATTTTATACTGGGAAATTTTGATATGAAAATTTCGAGCATCTGAACACCCCCCAAATCACGATTAGAGCCATATTTAAGGAGATAAATCGATTTAAAGGTTTGGAAAGCTCCCCGGCCGACAAATAAAGGATTTTCAAATATTTTATACTGGGAAATTTTGATATGAAAATTTCGAGCATCTGAACACCCCCCAAATCGCGATTGGAGCCATATTTAAGGAGATAAATCGATTTAAAGGTTTGGGAAGTCCACCAGCCGATAAATAAAGGTTATTCAAATATTTTATACTGGGAAATTTTGGTATGAAAATTTCGAGCATCCGAACACCCCCCAAATCGCGATTAGAGCCATATTTAAGAAGATAAATCGATTTAAAGGTTTGGGAAGCCCCCCGGCTGACAAATAAAGGTTTTTCAAATATTTTATACTGGGAAATTTGGGTATGAAAATTTAGAGCACCTGAACACCCCCCAAATCGCGATTGGAGCCATATTTAAGAAGATAAATCGATTTAAAGGTTTGGACAGCTCCCCGGCCGACAAATAAAGGATTCTGAAATATTTTATACTGGGAAATTTTGGTATGAAAATTTCGAGCATCTGAACACCCTCCAAATCGCGATTAGAGCCATATTTAAGGAGATAAATCGATTTAAAGGTTTGGGAAGCCCCCCGGCCGACAAATAAAGGTTTTTCAAATATTTTATACTGGGAAATTTGGGTATGAAAATTTCGAGCACCTGAACACCCCCCAAATCGCGATTGGAACCATATTTAAGAAGATAAATCGATTTAAAGGTTTGGACAGCTCCCCGGCCGACAAATAAAGGATTCTGAAATATTTTATACTGGGAAATTTTGGTATGAAAATTGCGAGCATCTGAACACCCCCCAAATCGCGATTAGAGCCATATTTAAGGAGATAAATCGATTTAAAGGTTTGGGAAGCCCCCCGGCCGACAAATAAAGGATTTTGAAATATTTCATACTCAGAAATTTTGGTATGAAAATTTCGAGCATCTGAACACCTCCCAAATCCTGATTAGAGCCATATTTAAGGAGGTTAATCTCTTTTCCCATTTTTCCCGAAGGTTTCACTTCAGAAATTGGAGAAATTGCAGAAGGTCGAGTAGCATTACTCGCGAGGCATTCCATTTTTATAGTAAATCAGCCTTAGGCATAGCTTTTTGCGTATGTATTAGATCTATTTCATCCTAGTTTTATTTATGGCTAATTAATATTTACAACATGGAGCGAAGGCGTTCGAAAAAGGGAGGTTAAGCACGGGTTGTACTTAGTAGGACGAAACTTAGATCAAAATCCCAATTTTCGTTTTCTAAAATGTATGAAGTTCATTATTTAGTTTTTGAGTTGTTTTCAACGGCCGTGTCAGTTGTTCCCAACAGTCCAATATGGCCCAAAGCACCCTTATTTGCTCTCTATTTACATCCCATTTCCCCGTATCGCGCAGAATCCTCTTCCATTCCTTTATGAACGTTTTCCTCCGTGTGTGTAGCACAAACAACGCACGACACGACGGAAGGAAATTTTCATTCTCGTGTTTCCCATTACGCCAGAATGTAGTCCACGTTCGACGGTCGGAATATTGTCTTACATTTCGGTGTGAAAAATAGTGTAAATCATTGTGTAAGAGCCTCGTGAAAACTCGAATCCAGTGCGAATCGCCAGCACAAGTGTCGTTTCCTTTGTCATATCGCACAAAAGACTGCTCGCAGGTTTAGAAACTCGCCCGAGGAAGAAGCTTTGAAAATGCGTTTGATCGATAAAGTCAGGGAAATCGTCACGGTCCCCGTGTCGCCCAAGTACCTACGAATCTCGACCATTCTGATTGCAATTTACAAAGTGGTACGGTTTTGCTTCAATTAGAAGGGAAAAGTACAAGCGAAAGACAATAATGATAATTTTGAAAATGTTTTCCACAGCTAGTTGCCCATGTCTTGCTCTTCATCATGCTGCTGGGTTTGGCCCACGCAGAGGAGATGAGTGCCATCCTCGGAGCGGACATTGCCGATCAGAAGGAGCGGGAGGAGTATGTTTACATTCCCACCAATGCCAAAGGCGAGACCATGAACCAGCTGCGCTTCAAGTCGGCTGCCAACCTTGCGTCGGGTGAGTTGCCCTATTTTCCACTTTTTGGCAACCCTTCAAATGCGTGCTGTTTGTTGTGCATTGCGTGATGTCTACCCTGAAGGCGATTTGCATGCCGAGATATTTATTAATTTTCAACTTTTTCAGTCACACTTTGTATGCTGTACATTGGGACCACCTTGGCGACGATCTACGTTCTGAGCTGTCTGGGTCTGTTGATCGGAACGCTCCGCAACCGGCACGAGTTCTTCATCCCGTGGATGGTGGTGGACTTTTTCGGAACGTTGATCTCGGCATCCGTCATGATCGCATTCGGCTACAACAAGATGGCCTATTCCGTCATTGGAAAGTGGCAGTATTGTAAGAAAATCTAATTTCAGAACATTAATAATGGCACATGAGTGTGATTGCGACAATTTATTTTTTTCAGGGGGCTTCTGCGCCGTTATGACGGTATTCAATGTCGTCATTTGGATGGTGGTGCGGATGTTCTACAAGAATCTGGTGCACATGACGAAGCTGCGCGAAGTGGCCGTGGTGGCCATTCCGTGCCCGTCGCCGGGATCGAAGCAAATTCCGTACCATTTCCGCAAGGAGAATATGCACCTGAGTGACGGGGGCCTGAAGCACATTCTGTTCGATTCGAATGAGGCGAACTATTTGGTCTAAAGTGACACAGCGGAGCACGCTGAGTGTGTGTGATGGTTAACAGCAAATTGTGTGATATCGAACATATTGATGATGTATTTGCAAACAGATCTCCTGTGTCGTTTCGACCTGTTTGAATGCTTAAAATTTGAATTGGGAATGAGAAGGTGTGGACAATTGGTTGGGAAATTCATTAGAAAAATGATTGTTGGAAAGTTACACCGAGTATGACATAAACGATACTAATAAATATGAACAATGCAAAACCTATAATAAACTCTCCTAAACTCCTCTAAAATAAACTCTCTCTAAAATAGTGAATAAAATATGATCTTATGTCTTGTAATGTGTACTGATTGTGCGTTTCTTTTAACGATTGTATGACAAAAGGTCGAGACAGCGGCGCCGGTGGTGTAGTGGTAAGCGTGATTACCTCTCACCCCAGCAGGCCTGGGTTTAATCTCGGCGCCGCCGGGATGTTCTGAGACATAACATCTCCGATCACGCCTTCCTACGGAAGGGAAGTAACGCCGTTGGTCCCCGGTTCATGAATGATAGGTCGATAGGTAGGATCCAGGTGTGGGAGCTGCCTCCCTGACGTCGGCAGCATTGGTGGTCAGCACGGAAAACAAGATCGACGGAAGGAAAAAAAGGTCGAGTGACAAAACGTCGAAAGGATAAAACGTCGAATGATTCAAAGAGGGACATAAGGTCAAATGGTGGTACATCTAGTTGTGAAGCCAAATAGTGGAAAGAATACTTGACAGACGTAATGACCGTTACGTTAAATATTAAATGACTAATCCTAGCTTTCAGTGTCTACACATGGAAATAGCAAAAGAACTATACAATCTGAATAAACTTTTCCACCGATTGATTCAACATCAGCTTGTAAAAAATATATAATAAAGTTCATTCAATAAGAATACTGTTCCAAAGGATTTAACCAGAGGTTATAAGAAAGAACAAGCAGAGCTGAGCATGAGCATTAACGATCATACATTTCAGTAGTTGCTACTCCGTGATTTATCAGATTAAGCGAAATTTGCACAAAGAACCATATGAATGGGGTTTGGGACTAGCAATCCATTCTCAGTGTACAAAATCCGGAGAATCCTTATTTTTGAGGTCAATAACGGCGTCGGCCACGTCCTTACGGTCATCGGGGAGGGACAGGATTGTTATTTTAACGGCCGTTGCTACTAGAGACCGAGTATACCTCTGCATCTCCACGGTTGTCACGGGAAGGACGTTTTTGTTAATGGCGGGGGTCTTGGACTGAAGTTCCAGCGGAATGAAAGGCCGAGTTTTTTTTAATGTTTGATGCTATAAACTTTATTTACACGAGATGTACACACATCGAGTTTACTTTTGCGAATGATACAAAATGGCGCACACAGCAGAAGGCTGATGCTGCGCTCTCGCTCTGCTACCGTCTCTTTCGCTATCACTGTCACTACAGGATAGCTCTTTGCATCAAGGTGTGTAGTTAAAGGTGGCATGACCGTTGTTACACCAACACTCCTCCTCAACGAACACTGCCATCCTATGACGACAATCCCAGCATCCGTGCAAACTTCATCTGTTTCACTGAACCCACCGGTTTAGTGAGTACATCAGCCACCATGTCTTCAGTTGGACAGTACTGCAACTCGATGCATCCGTCATCACACAGTTGTTTCACGAAATGTCCCCGCACCTCAATGTGCTTGGACCGACGACTCTTGCGTTCTGAGGTTACGAACTGTATACAGCTTTGGTTATCCTCCATCACTTTGACAGGATCGCTCAGCTGTTCACCCATGTCCTTCAGCAAGCTCCGAAGCCAGATCAGTTCCTGACTAGCATCACTCAGCGCCACATATTCGGATTCCATCGAAGACAGTGTGACGCAACTTTGCCTTCGACTAGCCCACGATACTGCTCCACCGGCATAGTGGAAGACGAATCCTGTTGTTGATCTTCTTGTACCAACGTCACCAGCCCAATCGGCATCCGAATATCCGATTAGCTTTCCAGCCGCATCGCTGTACTTCAATCTCCACTCTTTCGTTGCCTTTAAATAGCGGACAACACGTTTTGCCGCTATCCAATCCGCCTACGTAGGCGCACTCACTTTACGACCCAATATCGCTACGCAAGCTGCTACATCCCGCCTAGCACACACGGAAATGTAGAGAAGCGCTCCAACAATACTTGGATAATCCATCCCGTCCGACAGTTGAGGACTTTTATCTTCCGTGCTCTGGAAACCCTCTTCCATTGGCGTCTTCGCCCGCTTTGCATCACGGAGCCCAAACTTCTCCGCAACACGATCGATGTACCCTTCCACTGAAACACTGTACTTTCCATGTTCCTTCCGAATCTCTAGTCCCAAGAAGTAATTGAGCTCTCCAAGATTGGTGATTTCGAAATACTGCTTCAGCACTTTATATACCGCTTCGATCTTCGCTTCATCTTCGCAACCAACCAAAATATCGTCCACATACACAATCAGGTATACACGTTTTCCATGAAGCAGCATTGTGTGCAGGCACGGTTCAGCAACATACAACTGTTCGGCTATTTCGGTAACCACAAAGGCCTTTGGTTGGTCATTAGTAAATTCGTCTAAGTAGATGGCACCTGAGCCATCCGGACTTCGCACGCTGCCGCTGTATTCCTCCAGTGAGATAAGACTGCATCAGAAATCGACTTCACAATAGCATTCACTTCCTCACTTGCATTCACTTACTAACTGCACTATAAAAATCGAAGCCGATTACTTAATACCTTTTTTAATAATCCTCGAAAATTGAATCTAAAACAAACGTTTGCACCTCATTTGCAGTCAAACTCAACTTCATTGTCTCGCCTGCTGCCTTTCCTTCTTGCTTTTATTTGGTCATTCACATAGCATCTTTCCATATCCTTGCTCGCTGCTCCAGGCTTGATGGAGATTCACTCGCGAATTTGAAATGAGCCGAGCGTAGCATTTTTCTGAGGAGTAGAATGCCTACTGCCAAATCATTCCACTGAGCTTCAGATAAAATAAGAGTGAGGTTTGCTGCCATTCATGTTCATGTTTTCTATCACACGCTCTTACTCTCACTCTGGGTGAACTCTGAGCTTCTTGCGTCGAACAAAAAAGTCATCCGGAGTCTCGAAAAGCGCACCTCACGTTAAATCATCCTCTCGCTGAAGTTCACTCTCCCTCTCTCTCGAGGAGTTTTTGTATTTTTTTTTTTTTTTTTTTAACTCTTTATTTGTTCCAAATTCAAAATAAATTACATATCATTTTTAACCTAGGTGCTCCAGTTACTACAGCAACTTACCAGCCTTAATTGTTATGATATATATCTAAGTGTTTTTACATTGTTCCTGTCTTGGCAATTATGTATTTTAAACAGGTTTTTTAAACCTGCATGTCAGTATAACAATTGATAGCTTAAAACTAAATAACTAAAACTAAATCTTATCTAAGTATAAAGGGAATTAATCGTTGCAATTGAGGATTGTAACGATTTTTGCCGGAAATTATTAATTATTTTGTTGGACATTTGTGCTAAAGTCTCAACATTCGAAATTCTATGTACTTCGGTAGTACTGTACCAGGGAGGCAACTTCAAAATCATCTTCAGAATTTTGTTCTGAATCCTTTGAAGTGCTTTTTTCCTGGTAGTGCAACAACTAGACCATATTGGCACAGCGTAAAGCATGGCCGGTCTAAAAACTTGTTTAAATATTAGAAGTTTATTCGTCAGGCAAAGTTTGGATTTCCTGTTAATAAGAAGGCTCTAGCGTCCAAAACGTCAAATACAACAGGGAAAGTTTTGCAGCTGAGTTATTGACGAAAGAGAAAGTCGATCAAGATAATCGATCAATGCAGATAGGACCTTTTGAAATGTTTATCTAGATTTAGTGTTCATGATTAGTAAACATTGCCTGCAGCTTGTGTCACTTTTTCTCGAGTGAGTGAACTCAAATCCATCGGTGCACTCGTCCATGCCTACTGCCAAATCATTCCACTGAGCTTCAGCTAAAATGAGAGTGAGGTTTGCTGCCATTCATGTTCATGTTTTCTATCACACGCTCTTACCATAGAGGTAACTCTAAGACTAGTAAGTCCCGAAGAAACGTGCTCAACTTTTTGGCTCAGCTCTGGTACTAATTAAGCTAATTGATTAACCCCTCGAAACATAGGAAAATCCACTAACCCCTCATTTTATCTGTCAAACTTTCATAGCGAATCAAAACAAACATAGTGTAGTACTGAAATTTATACAAGAATGGGGTACTTTAATCGATTTGCTTGGGACCAATAGGCTAGTCAAGTAGTGAGCCAATTTTAAATCGTTAGTTTCGTATTGATTGTTGCTCTTACTCTCACTCTGGGTGAATTCTGCGCTTCTTGCGTCGAACAAAAAAGCCATCCGGAGTCTCGAAAAGCGCACCTCACGTCAAATCATCCTCTCGCTGAAGTTCACTCTCCCTCTCTCTCGAGGAGTTTTTGTATACTTCTTCCATATTTCTACCGCCACTCACTCGAGGTGAGGGCTAGCTAAACTCGCAGGACAAGACTGTTTTAAAACCTGCAGTGAGTTTGAGGAGTTTCAGCAAGCCTGCTCGAATCTTCTTCCATCTTCACCAGCATGGACGAGTGCACCGAAGGATTTTAATTCACTCCCTCGAAAAAAGTGACACAAGCTGCTGGCAATGTTTACTAATCATGAACACTAAATGTTCATGAATAATGAATAATGAACATTTAGCGTTCATGATTAGTAAACATTTTTTCTCGTGTGAATGAACTCAAATTCATCGGTGCACTCGTCCATAGGCAGCGTTGAAAAAGTAGATGCAGCGTATGCTAGGTAAATGAATCTAATGAATGAATGAATGAATAGATGTGTCGCACCCAGGCTTCCAAATAGTACAGCCTCCTCGCGACAGCTGGTTTATACATGAATTGACTGTTGCTTTGTGTGCTTTACTACCGCTTGCTACCGTACGTTCAGATCTGAATTCGAAGTGTATTGGCAACAGCGCACGCACGAACGAATGAAAGCTGTATTAGAACAGTCGCATCTATACCCGCTTTGCTAAAATCATCGTGCTTGGAGCGTAGTGAACCGAATGGGCTGTATTTATACATTTCCAGGTTCCAGGTTCTCAATGTTTCTGTCGTCATAACAGCCTTCACAAACCGACGACATCCCTCAGCTTACCCAAGTGGCTGTCACGAACAGGCTGTCACGAGACGTTATATACAATTGATATACGGCAGTGGAGTATGGAAGAAACCCAGAATAATGATCCCGAACAGATATGTCGGCCCGATGTTGGATCAATGTAAGGTCAATTTAT